GGTGAAGACTTTGTGAAATGCTTCGTTGCCATAAAGTCTCATGAAATGCAAAAAGCAAGAGAAGCAGAAGAAAATGGTGATTCTATGTGGGACTGGAATATGTATTTTAAATACATTTAAAAAAACATTAACTTCATTTTTTCTTCGAAATATATAGAGTAAATCTACTGGTTCTGAAGTAAATTCCAAATTTTAATCAGACCCCTTTCTTCTTTTAGATACCGTCTATTTAGATATTGTCTGTATAACAATTAGCATATATATTATTATCATAATTTTATTATAATAAAATCCAATATACAAAGATTTTTGATAAACATCTGTCTCTTATACACATCTTTTTGACTGCACGGAAACTGTAACAGCAAAACAACGACTGTTGGTTTTTTGTTTTATATACAAACTCGGAATGGTAAATAGCAGAAGTGGTATTATGAATCTAAAGGTAAGATAATGTGCTAGCATTTTCCGCCACGTTGTCTGCGAGTTTGATTTGTATAAAACATGACATTGTGTTACAAAAATTAATTTGCGAGAAATAAGAAACACCGTTTTTGTTGTGATTTTTTTTTCTATTAGTGTTTTTCTGTCCGGCCATTTATTTATTTATTTCGAATATTAATAAACATGCAATTAAACTGTTATGTTACACATTTGTGTTTTTTAAAGCGTTTTAAACTAGACACCTATGTTAAACAATTACCTTGAAATGCATGACAAAATTTCGCCCTCCACTTACAACATTACGCAAGGTAGACAAACTAAAACTGACCCCCACAGGGCCGCGTTCTTTACATTCAAATTGTAAGAACTCTCGCTATTACCACATGGCAGTCATAGAACGAGTCTCACATACGTTAAGTTGGTTTTTATGTTTAATTTTTTATTTCATAATTGTTTTTTTTTATGCATTTTTTACTATATATTTTTTAATGATTTTAAATTTGTTTTAGTGATTTCAACAGCACTCCTCATTATGATAGAAGGCCTATGTTCTCTTTTACAATTAAATGTCTGTTGAATTTTCATTTTAGTTTTTGTTTTCTTTCTTTTTTTTAGATAATAGAGAAGCTTTTAAGCCGCATTAGAGATGCAAATATTAAGTTTGTACGATTTGAAGTGGTGGACATGTTTGGAATTTCTCGGTTGAAGTTGATTCCGGCCCGACATTTCAAATCAAAGGCAGAAAACGGCATGAACTTTCACGTTAGTTATTTAGGTTCCAAATCTTTGGGAAATATGCTAACAGGTACTGGTTGTACTGAGGAATTACACTACAGTGACGCGGTCATGTTTCCTGTGTTGGATACGTTCGAAGTTCTTCCTTGGTGGAACGACACAGCACGAATCCTAATTGAACCGTCATATGACGGTAATGAAGTTTCATTTGCTCCACGATTTCTTGCTAGGCAGCAACTGACAAAACTTAAGAAGATGGGTTATAGTCTGCTCTCAGCTCACGAGCATGAGTTTTACGTCGTCAACAAAGATACAATGAAACCTCTTATAAATGATTCAAATATTCGATCAACTATTCGATTGTACGAAAGCGCTGGCTTCATTCATCAGCTTGGAGAAGATTTGCCTAAAGTAGGAATTGATATCGAATGCATGGAAACTGAAGCTGGACCTGGTCAGCATGAAATTTCGTACAAGCCATCGTTTGGAATCAAAGCAGCAGACACAGCCTTCACGTACAGAGGCGCAGTCAAAGAGATCGCCATGCAACACGGCTTAATGGCTTCCTTTATGAGCAAACCGTATCCGGACAAAAATGGATCTTCCTGCCACTTTTGTCACTCTTTGTGGGATGTGGAAGGTAATATTCCTCTTATATTTGATGACGATTCACCAGACAAACTATCAAACGTTGCTAAATATTGGATAGCTGGTGTTATACATCATGCACCAGCTCTTAGCCTGTTCATGGGTCCTACAGTAAACTGTAGAAAGCGGTATAAACCATTTTCTTTTGCGCCATCAAATGCAACCTGGGGTTTTGACAACCGAACATGCGCAGTTCGTGTGAAGATCAATAGTGAATTTGGTTCTTACATTGAAAATCGTATGGGAAGTGCTGGATCAAATCCCTATTTAGTTTTAGCAGCCACAGTTGCCGCCGGGATAGATGGAATCAAGAAGAAGCTTTCCCTTCCTGCCGACGTCACTGGATCCGCGTACCTTTTGCAAGATGTTCCTGAGAAAACACCAACAATACCAACATCCATGCAAGATGCCGTCGAAGCATTTCTGCAGGACGAGGTCATCAGGGATGCATTTGGTGAAGACTTTGTGAAATGCTTCGTTGCCATAAAGTCTCATGAAATGCAAAAAGCAAGAGAAGCAGACGAAAATGGTGATTCTATGTGGGACTGGAATATGTATTTTAAATACATTTAAAAAAACATTAACTTCATTTTTTTTTCAAAATATATAGAGTAAATCTACTAGTTCTGAAGTAAATTTCAAATTTTAATCAGACCCCTTTCTTCTTTTAGATACTATCTATTTAGATATTGTCTGTATAACAATTAGCATATATATTATTATCATAATTTTATTATAATAAAATCCAATATACAAAGATTTTTGATAAACATTTAAATTATAACTAATAGTATTAATAGAACAAAAGTCATTAAGGTTCAAAATGAAAGGTTTCCCCAGAAACTATAAAGCTTGTACAAAATTAAAAAATGAACCACATTTCGTTTATAAAATTAAAATTAATGAGCGGTAAGCAGTAAATAAACAAATTGTACCGGTATACAAACCAATAAAACAACAAGAGGCCATATACTGCAAAACAATTTAAAATCAAATTAAAACGAAACAATAGAGAAAATCCGATCATATTGACAAAATATACTAATAATAATAATAATAATAATATGTCGCTCTTATATAGCGCTTCATGCACAATGCCTCTAAGCGCTTCACATTACTACCCCAGTCATTGGATCAAACACATATGGAACACATACTCAGCTTCCTTGGGAGAATTCCATAATATTGCAGCTAGTAATCAGCGCAGTTGTGTGAATAGGATGCGGCACAAAAGCGCTTCGCATGTATTTTGGAGACGAGCGGACGAGGATTAACACTAAAAACCACCCGGGTATTGACAAATTGCGAGGCATGGGATTCAGGAAAGCCATCCGACCGCGTGACCACTGCAATTCATGCAAGGCACTACATAGTATAGCTACAGTATTGTACCAAAAGTGCGAGACACCTAAAACACGCTACAAATCCGCAAAAAGTGACAATGACAATGTTTTAATGTAAATTATGATGTTCATGTGACCTTCTCATCGAGTAGCCTAATACTAAAATAAACTATTTCCTTCAATCAAAAAGTGACTTAAATCAACCCAGGGCGATCATATGCCCTGGCTGAGTCAAATATATGGAGTCGCGACGGGGCTTCGCCAGCCTCGAAACCAACAGGAACAGGAGAGGTTGAGCGACGAAGAGTGGGGTTTGTATTTTGAAAGACGATTCGTGCCCACCTGCACGTGAAATCACGTTCGATGTTATTGTTCTTATGATAGATTAATAATTAAAATAATACATGAATGGAATACTAAAATAGTATGGGTTATTCTCTACTTTTGTGTATTACCATAACCACAACCAGTGCCAACGAGAGGGTGGGTGGGGGAAGATCCTCAGGGCCGAAGCTTACCAGGAGCCTATAGAAATTGCAGGTAGAATCTGGAGATCGTGGACAACTAGCCACCCGAGAACAACTTGCGATTTTATTCGCAAGTTGATTTTATTGTACTGAGTACCGTATTCAATACATTTCCACCCAGGTAGGGCAAAATTACATCTATACATGCTTCTCCTGACGCAAATCCAGTTATTGTCTATCCATCACGACAATAATTACTGAGTATTCAGTACATTTAAGTTAGGGCAAAATTACACCTACAGAATCTTTTCCACATTTATTAAAAAAAAATATTAATTCTGATGATGGGCCCTCAATAATTGCAAGAGTCCCCCTAATAATGGGCCGCTTAAGATTGACAGGGCGCCCTCAAAAATTGTTTGCTAGTAACTATGGCCCACACCCACCCTTGCCCCTGTTACATTTTCCCCTCTTGGTGGCCCTGACCACTGAACTACTGTACAGGTTCCTAAAAATGTGCCACACACAGCTCCATCATCCTCCCCCATCATTCCACTACGTGGCCCTGAATGCATTGATTGCTATAATTTGACTGCCAATCAATACCTTTGGTTTTATATTATTTGGCATTTACAGTCAGATAATTAAGAAAAATTGATATATATTACAATAATTTTAATAAACCCAGCACCCAGGAGCATTATTGTCTAGGTGATTTTTGAAGAACCAGTGATTACTGGTAAATGTATTCCACATAGATGTTAAAAAGTGTTATTGTATGCTTTATAAATACCTAATTAACAGTTAATTTACTTCCACTAGGGTAAAACATTGATAATTAATTCAATGTTCAAAATGATGCTACTTCCATTTCATCCGTCCTGCCTGCCTTTCTTTTATGTTTACATATTATTGTGACATACACACGTCAGAAGAACATGGACATACACACCCTGCAACTTGCATACATGCGTATAGCCATGTGGTTAAACTGTATACAACTAGTTAATGATTATACAGATATTCTTTATATTTGGAAAACAATCCATACAATAAATAACTACATTCTACCCGACTAGTATGCCTATTCAATCATTCCCGAATTGTACTATCCAACGTTAGGACTGATTGGAATTTCTATTCTCAATACGTAATCTGAATCACGAGGATCATGAAAAACAATCCGACGATCTGCAGGGAAAATCTTCCAAATTAAAATCGAGCAAATACATTCTATTCAATAATATTGTTAGATGAACAGCTAATGTTTGGTCTAAATTCATAAATATAAATGATGTTTTGACAGAGAGCAACCAACTGGGCTTGAATCACCCGTCACCTATTTGAAATAGCCATGTTGCTTTAATACGTTTTATTCATCTTTTCCAGTTCCTCTACACACTTACTTTTGTGCCTTACAAGAGCCAATGTCCCTTCATCTGTATTGAACCATTCTTCCTCATTCATATTACATTCATGACATAGTGGTATAATGAAGTAGTAATGTTGGTTATTATTAAAACGTTTGACGTAGACATGGGCTCCATCGGTTGCTTCGTCTTCGCAATCAACATTAGCGCAATATTTTGGAAAATCTCTCTTCGTGTGTTGTACCCATAGTTGGTGCCAAGTATGACCACCGGCTGGATGGTCATGAGTTGTGTAGTCTGCGTTTTTAACTTGATCTCGTTTCCTGAGAACTATCACCTTGTTGTGTTGAAGACCTGCCATAGCCATGTTCACGATCTGTAACCTAAACGAAGAGTGGCTCTTCTGTAGGCCTATTGTTGAAAAAAAAATACATAGGTCTTAATTAGAACTGGATTTTCCAAAGTTCTATATATATATATATATAGCATCATGGTTTGCGACAAAGTGCGAGCCAGCGAGTCATGCGAGTCGTGCAAGTTATGCCAGCCAAGCGCTAGCCATCCTATCCATATATATATATTTTTTTCATCTGTAATTATTTTTATTAACACGTACTATTGTATTTATTTGTTTATTATTACATAAACAGTTAATTATTTTCGTAAATTTCTAGGGGAATATTCCTCCGCGGTATGTAATGGTATAATTGAAGCATTGTGATTGGCTATGCTCATGTTGCAAGGGAAGGACGACGTTAACGGTATGCAAGCCTTCGCTGGTGAAGTGCATTAATATATAATATATTACATTAATAATAATATTTTTTAAAAATATGGATGCGGCACAAAAGCGCTTCGCATGTATTTTGGAGACGAGCGGACGAGGATTAACACTAAAAACCAACCGGGTATTGACAAATTGCGAGGCATGGGATTCAGGCAAGCCATCTGACCGCAATTCATGCAAGGAACTACATAGTATAGCTGCAGTACCGGTATTGTACCAAAAGTGCGAGACACCTAAAACACGCTACAAATCCGTAAAAAGTGATAATGACAATGTTTTAATGTAAATTATGATGTTCATCTGACCTTCTCATCGAGTAGCCTAATACTAAAATAAACTATTTCCATCAATCAAAAAGTGACTTAAATCAACCCAGCGCGATCATATCCCCTGGCTGAGTCAACTATATGGAGTCGCGACGGGGTTTCGCTAACCTCGAAACCAACAGGAACAGGAGAGGTTGAGCGACGAAGAGGGGGGTTTGTATTCTGAAAGACGATTCGTGCCAAACTGCACGTGAAATCACGTTCGATGTTATTGTTCTTATGATAGATTAATAATTAAAATAATACATGAATAGAATACTAAAATAGTATGGGTTATTCTCTACTTTTGAGTATTACCATAACCACAACCAGTGCCACCGAGAGGGTGGGTGGGAAAGATCCTCGGGGCCGAAGCTTACCAGGTGCCTATAGAAATTGCAGGTAGAATCTGGAGATCGTGGACAACTTGCCACCCGAGAACAACTTGCGATTTTATTCGCAAGTTGATTTTATTGTAATGAGTATTCAGTACATTTCCACCCTGGTAGGGCAAAATTACATCTATACATGATTCTCCTGACGCAAATCTATCCAAGTCTATCCATCACGACAATAATTACTGAGTATTCAGTACATTTAAGGTAGGGCAAAATTACACCTACAGAATTGTTTTCACATTTATTTAAAAAAAATATTAATTCTGATGATGGGCCCTCAATAATGGCAAGAGTCCCCCTAATAATGGGCCGCTTAAGATTGACAGGGCGCCCTCAAAAATTGTTTGCTAGTAACTATGGCCCACACCCACCCTTGCCCCTGTTACAGTTTCCCCTCTTGGTGGCCCTGACCACTGAACTACTGTACAGGTTCCTAAAAATGTGACACACACAGCTCCATCATCCTCTCCCATCATTCCACTACGTGGCCCTGAATGCATTGATTGCTATAATTTGACTGCTAATCAATACCTTTGGTTTTATATTATTTGGCATTTACAGTCAGATAATTAAGAAAAATTGATATATAATACAATACTTTTAATATACCCAGCACCCATTAGCATTGTTCAGGTGGTTTTTGAAGAACCAGTGATTACTGGTAAATGTATTCCACATAGATGTCAAAAAGTGTTATTGTATGGTTTATAAATACCTAATTATCAGTTAATTTACTTCCACTAGGGTAAAACATTGATAATTAATTCAATGTTCAAAATGATGCTACTTCCATTTCATCCGTCCTGCCTGCCTTTCTTTTATGTTTACATATTATTGTGACATACACACGTCAGAAGAAGATGGACATACACACCCTGCAACTTGTATACATGCGTATAGCCATGTGGTTAAACTGTATACAACTAGTTAATGATTATACAGATATTCTTTTTTATTTGAAAATAAATCCATACAATAAATAACTACATTCTACCCGACTAGAATGCCTATTCAATCATTCCAAACTATATATATATATGTACTTCACTATACAGTACCGGTACTGTATTAATGTGCTGCAAAGTACAAAATTATGCAAATACAATACAGTAGATTAAATGATCGTAAGACATAACAACGCATCGTAGGCATGAATATTTTGATGTTGCTGTAAGCTGAGGTCACCCGGGCATTATAACAACCACCCGACTGCGCACCATTTCCGGTCCCACACAACTACGACAATCCATAACGCATGCAAGTGCACCTTCTAGTTCCTCTGGATAATATAA